TCGCCCGAGGAGGAGGAGGAGGAGGAGGAAGACGAGGAGGAGGAGGAGGGAGGAGGAGGAGGGAGGAGGAGGAGGAGGAGGAGGAGGGAGGAGGAGGAGGAGGAGGAGGAGGAGGAGGAGGATGAGGAGGAGGAGGAGCCCCCCCCGTCCCGCCGCAGGCCGGGCCGCAAGCAGGCTTCATGCTCGGCGGCACCGCCCCCCCCCCCGGGGAGCCGCAAAGCCGGCCCCGGGGCCCAGACGTCGACATCTGGCGCTGCGAAGCCTTCCGGCGTGATCGCGCCTTGCAGAGAGCAGGAGGGAAGAAAGCACACACACACAATGAATCGTCGATGTCCCAGAAAATCTGGGAAAGTATGGGAAGTGGGGGGGGAGACAAAAGCCCAGAAGATGCTGGAAAAAATTTGGGGGATCCTGTGATTTGTGTCCAGTTCTTTGTGTGCCCCAGGGCCCCTTCAAGAGATCACGATGGGAGATTGTTGGCCGTTTTGGGCCTCACGCCTCCCCCGACGCAGGCCAGTCGCGAGGCCGCCGCCGCGGCCCGCGCTGAGCGCGAGGAGCTCCAGGCGCGCCCGCGCGGCGCCTGCGCCGCGACGACGACGACGACGACGACGACGACGACGACGACGACGACGACGACGGCGACGACGACGGACGACGGACGACGGACAACGGACGACGGACGACGGACGACGGACGACTGACGACGGACGACGACGACGACGACCGACGACCGACGACCGACGACCAGCGACTGACGACCGACGGCCGACGGCCGACGACCACCGACGACCGACGACCGACGACCGACGACGGGCGACCGGCGACCGGCCACGCCGACGACGACGCCGACGACGAAAACAACGAAAACGACGACCGACCACCGACCACCGACCACCGACGACCGATGACCAGCGACCAGCGACCGACGACCGACGAACAACGACCACGACTTATGCCAAAGCATGTTGACGTTTAGCTAAACTATGCCAAAGCACTGCGACGCTTTAGCCTGCATAGCTAAGGCGTTGTAGAACTTAGCAGGGCACCTGTCCAACCAAAGGAGGGCCCTCACAGGGCCTCGGGGCCATCAAAAAGTGCACATCGGGGCAACAGCCGGCCCGCATCAAGGGGTGCAATCTTCTGGGGGCCTCGTGGCGAGAAGCACGCTACGCCACGTCGCACCCGGACATCCGACGCCTCGAGCTTTTCAGTACCGGGCCCACGGAAGTTCACCGGCCCTGCTCCCGGGGCCGGCTCCTCATCTTGACTCGAGTCAAGATGAAGATCAGGAGGGGAAAAAGCACGCAGACACAATTGATCGTCGATTCCCAGGAAAAGATGGGAAAATATGGGAAGTGGTGGGGAAAGACAAAAACCCAGAAAATATGGGAAAATATGGGGAATCTTTTTATTTGTGTGTATTTATGTGTGTGTCCCAGGGCCCCTTCCGACGAGCCGATCTTGACTCGAGCCTTGGCCGTGGGAAAACGATCGTTTCTCCGCGGCCCCGGGGCCGCCGCGCCCCCGTCGTCCCCGCGCGTCGGCCCCGTCCTATCCCGAAGCGTCGATGTGCCCTCGCGGGGCCGTCGTGCCCCCGTGGGCCCAGCGGTGGCCCCTCGGAGGGCCGAGGAGGGCAGGCGCCCGCTGCCGGGGAGGTTCCCCCCCCCCACCGACATGCGAGGCTTGCAGGGGCATTGGGCGCCGCGTAATGGGAGGAGGAGGAGGAGGAGGAGGAGGAAGAGGAGGAGGAGGAGGAGGAGGAGGAGGAGGAGGAAAAGGAGGAGGAGGAGGAGGCGAGCGTGGTCCGAAAAGGTACCCAAACGGTACCTAAACGAGCCCCCTGGGGCTCTGGAGGGGCCCGAAAGGGGCACGAAAGGGGACCTTTTCTGACCCCCCCATTCGTGACCCCCCCATGAAGCCACGCCCAAGGGCAAGGATGGGGGGGGGGCAGGCAGTTTTGGGGGGGGGGTGCATCGACCCCCCATCGCCCATGGATCGCCGATGTGGTTCTGATAGCCCCAACCCGCCCAGGCAGGTGCGGCCTCACTATCGGGGGCCTATCGCCGATCTATCGGCGATGTATCGCCGATTCCATGTCGATGCATCCCCCCTATATGAATGCCAGTCCCCCCCACATCGTTGCCCGCCCCATATTTCTGTTTGCAATCTTCCTGTGTGTTGGGTCCTTGTTTTGACTTCGCAGCGCGGCGCCCCACCTTCCTCCTCCTCCTCCTCCTCCTCCTCCTCCTCCTCCTCCTCGCCCCTTTCCTCTCCTCTTCCTTCTTATCCTTGACATTCCTTCGCCTGCTACTGGGGGTCAGCCTGTTGGGGGTCAGGATGAGGCGAGCTCCATTCCGCTAAATTTTACCACAAGCGATGCCTTCCTTGCCTTTCCTTGGGCGATTCATTCGGAAGTACTTGTCCCAAGCCAGCATGTTGCTCAGAAAGCATTTTTTCTTTCGTTTGCCCTTCGCTGACTCTGACCCCCAGAAGTCTGACCTCCATTGGCAGGCGAATGGGTGATTCTGGGACACCCCTCACACGCTCCGTGGCCCCATGAGGAGCTCACCGAATGTTCCAGTGGCCGGGCTAGCATTCGTACTCGGGCCCATGTCGGCATTTCCCAGACCCGCGATGTATGTTTGTAGTTTGTGTTGGTTTTTGTCGTCCATACATGGCCCCCCAGAGTGCCGACCCTCTCCCCTGGACGGGCTTCTCATTCCGAGTCGTCTTTGGACGGCCTGGGGGCCCGGCGAGGGCCCCCGGGGGGCCGAGCACGGCCAAGAGTCCTCCGCCGTGGCTCTCTTGCGCCTGGCCCGTGAGGGTGGCGTGGGCCCGAGGGCACTCCGCAGGCCTCCGAAGAGCCCTCCCAGGCCAGACCCCCGACGTCATGATTCTTTCACTACGTCGACCCCCAGGCCAGGGGTCTTCTCACCACCCACCAAACCACCCCAACCCAACCCGAAGGGTCAGATTTACCCTCGATTTCTAGTGTGGGGGGGTCCGGGAACATCGAAAAGACACATATGGAGCCCATACCCCCCCAACCCGAAATTCGGGTCTTCGGGTTGGGTTGGGGTGGTCTGGTAGGTAGTCATCTTCTGGACCCATGCCCCGGGACCGGCTCCTCATCCTGTGGGTCGCTTTGGGACGGCCCCCGGGGCCCCCCGCGAGGGCCCCCCGAGGCCGAAAACTGCGGGAGGCCTCCCGCCCTGATTTTTCCACTGCCCGGGGGGGGGGGGCTGGAGGGACGACGGCCGCCCGAGGGCCTCCCGAGGGCCCTCCCGAGCGGCTCCGACGGAGATCAGGAGGGAAAGAAACACGCAGACACACTGAATCGTCGATCCCCCAGAAGAGATGGGAAAATATGGGAAGAAGAGGGGGGGAAGACAAAAACCCGAAGATCTGGGAAACTGTGGGGAATCTTTTCATTTGTGTGTGTGTGTGTTTATTTGTGTGTGCTGGGGCCTCTTCAGGAGCGGCGCGCCGCGGGGTGCGCGCCCTCGGCAGGTGGAGCTCGCCTGCGCCGGGCGCGTGCAGGCGGCGCTGGAGGCGGACCTGCGGGCGGAGGCGCCGCACGAGCGCCGCACCTCCTCGGCGGCGCGCAAAAGGGGGTGGGGGGAGGGGGGAGGGCTTCTTAGAAGCACCCTGCTTCCTAGAAGGCCTCGGCCTTACCGTCCATAGAGAAGGCCCGCGCCTTCTCGGGAGCAGGGGCGCTTCTAAGAAGCCCTCCCCCCTCCCCCATACCCCCCTCTGCGCGTTGCCGACCTCCCCTCCTCTGGGGGGGGCGTTCGGGGTGCCCAGAGATCCAGCGCATTGGCAAACATCCAGATGGAGGTGGCTCCCAGTGTTCGGCCTCGGGGGGCCCTCGCGGGGCCCCCAGAGGCCGCCAACAGAACGGCTCGGGACGAAGAGCCGGTCCTGGGGAAGGGGTCGAGGCTTCCGGCGACCGCGCGCGGACAGAAATCACGACATCAGATCTCTGGGTGTTCGAAGGATTGCAAAAAAAACCTGAACGAAGGATTGCAAAAAAACCCTTGAACGAAGCATCGCAAAAAAAAACCTGTTTTTTTGCATTTTTTTTTTGCAATCCTTCGTTTTCGAGGTTCCCGGTTTTCGGGCGTCTTCGGCGGCTCTCGGCGGCGGCCGCGCCTCGGGATGCTCTCCGGCGGCGGCGCCTCGCCAGGAGCGCATCCCGGGAGGTGTTTGGGCTGCCCCGCAGAGCCGCTGGAGGGCCGGGGCCAGGAAGCCAGGGTCGGGCGAAGAGAACTATGCACATGCACCGATCCTGGCAAGGCCCATCCTTGACCCAGGATCAGTGCAGATGCCTTCCTGGCCAAGGTCGGAGGGCGTATGCACCGATCCTGGGCTCAGGATGGGCCTGGCCAGAATCGGTGTATGTGCATAGTTCTTCTTCCTCTACAGGGGGCGGTAAACCGTAAGCCCCTCCCCGGAGAGGAAGATAGGGGGCGGAAGAGGAAACACCCGAAACCACCTGCGCCCAGAGGGCTGGTGGGATTCTGGTCAGAGCGCGCACCCTGGGCGAGGTCCGGGGAGCAGCGGTGTCGGTACCTTTGTGTCTCCCCAGCTCAGCTTTTGTTGCCCGGGCGCCTGCCTGCTGCTTCGCGGTCTCCCTCTTCCTGTGCCTCTTTTTCCCCGTCTCCCAGGTACTATTCGGCAACAGTGCGCCTCAGTCCTTCTGTCTTTCTGGAGCCCTAGGTCACATGTTGGACGGCCAGCTGCCTAATTCAAGCCCGAGTTTCCTCACAGCCTCGGCCGCTTGATCTAGAGCAATCGATTCGACCGTGAAGGAAGACATCGAATCGCTGATAAGACTTCGTGCTCAGTCTTCCTCCCTCGCGGCTGGCTGTCTTCCTTCGCGGCTCTTTCTCTCTCTCTCTCTCTCTCTTTCTCTTAGGCGGCCCCATGCGAACCCTGCCCCTGCCCCCCCACGATTTCTGAGGGGGGGGGGGCAGGGTTCACGTCGCTCGGGAGCTCCCGAGCGAAGTGAACCCCACCCTCCCCCTCAGAAATCGTGGGGGGTCGGGGCAGGGTCCACATGTGGCCCCCCTACAGGCGGCCCGGATCAGTAGGTCGACCCTGCCAGGTCAAGGGTACCCGTTGAGCCCTGCGCCTCGCGGCCCATGCTTCCTGCATTCCTGTGGCACCGTGGCCCTCGGAAGGGTCTTGTGTCCTCTCGCGTGTCCTGCCCAATCGAGTCCGACTGTACTCTCTGGACGCCCGACCTGGGTACGGAAAGAATGGTACAATGCCCAACAGCAGTTCCTGTTCATTCTGAACAGGATTCGCTGTCCACGCCGCCGCGGCCTGTGTCCATTCGAGACAGGAGGCCGCCTGCCCAACAGCGGCCGCTGTTGGTTTGGGACAACATTTGTTGTTAAACATTGTACCTATTCGTTCCGTAACCATTTCGGGCGTCCAGATACTCTCTCCCTCGTGTCCTGCGCCTCGCGGCCCATGCTTCCTGCATTCCTGTGGCACCGTGGCCCTCGGAAGGGTCTTGTGTCCTCTCGCGTGTCCTGCCCAATCGAGTCCGACTGTACTCAAGGCGGGGGAGGAGGAGGAGGAGGAGGACGAAGAGGAGGAGGAGGAGGAGGAGGAGGAGGAGGTAGATATCAGGAGGAGGAGAAAGGGCAGGATTCGGGGCTCAAGGGACGGGGGTCCATGCAAACGGGGGTCAATGGGCATGGAACCTATTTTGTGGTTGGGCATTGTTGGGCATTGTGCCTATTTTTCCCGTACCCATCTCGGGCGTCCAAATTCACCACCCACCAAACCACCCCAACCCAACCCGAAGGCCCAAATTTATCCTCGATTTCCAGTGGGGGAGGGCCGGGGAACGTTGAAAAAACACATGGTATCCGTACCCCCCCCAACCCGAAATTCGGGTCAAATTCGGGTCTTCGGGTTGGGTTGGGGTGGTCTGGTAGGTAGTCACAAATACTCTCTCCCCCTCCCCCGCCCGGGGCACAGCTCGCAGCTCCGTGCACACTGGCGCTCTCCTCGACGCCATCTATATGCGCGGGCCCGCCGGCACACGGAGAGAGGCCGGGGCGGCCACTGCGGTGCCTAAGCAGGGGCCTCATGCGGCGCCTCGGCCTCTCTCCCAGACATGCTCGCGTCGTAAAAAAATCAGGACGGGAGGTTTTTGGCTATTTTCGGCCTCGGGGGGCCCTCGCCGGCCCCCGGGAGCGTCAAAAAACGACTCAGGACGAAAAACCGGTCCCTGGGAAAGGGTCGGGAATTGCAGAGACGCCGTTCTGAAAAAATCAGGACGTCGCATGTCTGGGCTCTGCTCCGCCGGGACCTGCGTGGGCCCTGGAAGCGACAGGGCCGTTGTTTTGCCGGCTCCGTTTTGCTTCTTGTTGTTGCCGGTTCCGACGCCGTGTTTTGACCGGCTCGGCCACGAGCAGAGGGGGACGGGGGGAGGGGGGAGGGCTTCTTAGAAGCACCCCTCCCCCCATCCCCCTCTGCTTTGTGTCTGTGGGGGAGGGGGATGGGGGGAGGGGGGATGGGGGGAGGGATAAGGCCCGCGCCAGATAGATGGGGGGAGGGGGGATGGGGGGAGGGGGGAGGGCTTCTTAGCAGGCGCGGGCCTTATCTATAGATGTCAGGCCGCCGCCTTCTGAGAAGCAGGGGTGCTTCTTAAGAGGCCCTCCCCCCTCCCTCCACCCCTTTCGTGCGCGCCGCCAACCGGTGCCGGCTCCGGCTCCAATCCTGGCGCCGTTGTTTTGCCGTTTCCGGTCGCCGTTTGTTTGCCGCTTCCGTTTTCAAGGGGCACTCCTTTGGAAACGATGGAAAAAATCGGCCCTGCCGTTTCCGGGGCCCAGAAAGGCCGGGCCCCCCGCCCCTCGGGAGCGCCCCCCGTCTCCGGCATCCCCGGGGGTGGGTTTTCGTCAAGCAGTGGCGAGGCGACCCGGCTCGCCTATATCGGGGTTGGACAGACCTCCTACCACCCTGACACGTCGATTAAGGAATTGGCCGTTTTCGGTTCGCGAGGGGGCGTCGCGGCCGTCATTTTTGCGGGTCCAGGTCCGTCGGGTTGGGTCCCAGGCGCTTTTCACTAAGGGGAGGTTTACTAAAGGGAGGTTTGTCCAGCGCCGACTATAGCCCCACCAAGCAATGTTCTAAGAACCTTTTGTGGCTCCCACGAAATGTTATTAGAGCATTTCTGGCGGAGTCTGCTTTGCTTTAACACATCGGGTTCATGTTCTAAGAACATGGCTTTTGCTCTTAGAACCTTCTTGTGGTTCTTAAAAACATTTCGGGGTAATGATGACTATAGGAATGCCGGTACGGTCGGTCCCTGCTCAATTTAGGGAGCGGCCCCAGACAGGATCGCGTCGTAAAAGCGTCAGGACGGGAGGTTCGTGCCAATTTCGGCCCCTGGGGGCCCTCGCTGGGCCTCGGGACCGTCAAAGAACGACTCGGGACGAAAAGCCGGTCCCGCCGGGGAAAGGGTCGGGGCATCCAGGGACGCCGTCCTGAAGAAATCAGGACGTCGCATGTTTGGGGCAGTTCCTTGCGGGGGATGCTTGGGCCGAACGAAGGGGGGGGGAAAGGGGACAGGGGGGTCACGAACTCTGCTGCACGCAGCCGGTTTCGGCCCCGCCGCCGGGCCCAGTCCTCGATACACATGGGCGCCTCCCGGCGCCGGGAGGCGCTGGGAAGATCGGCTGCGTGAGCCGATTCTCTACCCCACCCTTTGCTATTCCCCCCCCTTCGTTCCCCCCCCGAGATGCAGAGGAGTGGCAAAGTCTAACGTCAGATGTTCTTGCCATGCTCCGTGAAATCGCACTTCGATTCCCGAGGGTTTCACGCAGGGTCCTGCCCCTTGCGGGCCACCTTCACAGGACTTCCACTCCATGCCACTCCACTCCGTTCTTCCATCCCGAGTCGTCTTCGTTGACGGCTCCGAGGGGCTCAGAGGAGGACACCCCCAGAGGCCGAGAACGACGAACAGAGTTGCGGCGGGATATCAACGCGCGCCACGCCTGTCGGGTCGGGCGGAAGGGGGGGATTGGGAAAGGGGGGATTGCGAAATTTGCTGCATGCAGCTGGTTTCGGCCTCACCGAGGGGCCCATTCCTCGATACATAGCCGCCTCCGGCGCCGGGAGGCGCCGGGAAAATCAGCTACTTGAGCTGATTCTGAAACCCCCCTTAGCTATCCCCCCCTTTCGCCCGATCCGACTGGAGGTCCTGGGGCACCCCTCAATGAAGTTGGCCCAGTCTGGGGTGCGCCTCGAGCGGGCCACCGACGGGAAGCCAGCCGCGGCGACGAGAAGCATCGCGAGCGCGCTCCCCCCGCACCCCGTAGGGAAGCGCTCCCGAGATTCGGCCAGCGAGCCTCCTCGATCCTCGACCCTCCTCGAGCCAAGGTCTGGACCACTCCTGGCTCTTCCCCTCCCTGCCTTGCTCTCCTCCCTCCCTCCTGTGCATGACGTCAGCTGCAAGATCTCTTGTCTTCCACTTGGCTCCGGATGCGGGCGGCACGCACGCGAGCTATCAGGTGCAGCAGCGAAACATATGGATGTTGCTGCGGTGGGAGAAGCACCCGCGAGTCGAGGGCTGGGCAGGTCGGGGGTGGCAGCGGCCAGTTCGCCTGCACCGAGGCCCAGGGTCCCGGTCGTGTAATTAGGCTTCGCGACTCCAGACTGTTCGGGGGCGGCGAAGAGGGAGGTGATGACTAGGGTTAAGTCGGGCCTGTCCCCCTACAGGGGGATTTTCGATGAAAAATGAAAATTACCCCACAAATAGTCAAAATCCAAAACTAGTCTGGGGATCATTCGGGGAGTATCTTTTTTTACTTAACTTTTTAGGACATTTTTGGGGTATCCATTATTTTTCGTCGAAAATTCCCCTGTAGGGGGACACGCCCGACTTAAGACTAGGGGGGGGGGGCGGACATCATGGCGTGGCCATGATATTTCCCAGATTTCGTGGCGACTCTTCTTATTTCATTCCCTGGCCCCTCCTTGGGCCGGGCACGTGCCGATGGCCATGACTTGAGGAAGGATGGGCAACCTTACCAAGAGTGCCCTCCCTTGCATCCTTGCCTTTTCGGCCCATCCTTGGCGACTTTCGCTGGCCAGGCCCTTGCATCCTTACCGCGCATCCTTCTGATACGGGTTGACTGTGCCATCGGTCCCTGAGTCCGGGTCTGACCAGGAGTGGGCAACCGCCCCCGACGCAGCCATAGCCACCGTCGTCGTTGCCGCCGCCGCCGTCTTCACCGCCGCCGTCGTCGCCGCCGCTGCCGCCGTCGTCGCCAGCGTCGTTTTATTTCGTCGTCGTCGTCGCGGTCCTCGTCGTCGTCGTCAGCGTCGTCGACGTCGCCGTCATCGTCAGCATCCTCGTCCTCGTCGTCGGCGTTGTCGCCCTCGGCCTCGTCGCCGTCCTCGCCGCCGCCGCCCCCGCCGAGGCCACCGAGGCCCGCAGCTTCCGCCTGCAGCTCCAGTCCGAGGCCGGCGCCTCCGAGGCCGCCGTGCGCGCGGCGCACGACGTGGCGCTCGAGGCGTGCGGCACGCCGTCGCCGCGCGCCGCGCCCTCCGTCTGCCAGCGGCGGGCCCGAGTGGCGAAGCGTCGCGGCTTGCCTATTAGGCCTACCATGGGTAGAAGGCGGCGGCAGTTCGAAGTTTCCGGTCCGCAGGTTTCTGCGTGGGCCGCCGCTCGCGCGTTGGTGCCGATAGCCAATGGCCGGGGAAGCGGCCCCTGGAGGGCACGGCGGGAATTTGCAGAGGTGACACGCCACGTCACGCACATGTCATATCATCGCGCTGGTTGAATGAATGGAAAAAAAGGCCCACCGTAGAGTGTTCTAAGCACCTTCTAGTGGCTTGAACGAGCTGTTCTTAGAGCATTTCTGCCTGGGGCTGTCTGGTTTTCACACGTTGGGGTTGTGGTCTGAGCACATATTCTTTGTTATTCGAATATGTTTGTTTGGGGTTCGAAGAACACGTCGTGGTAGGACTATAGGGATGCCGGGGCGGCCGGTCCCTGCTCAGGTCGAGCAGGGAAGCGAGGAAATCGAGGGAGCGCAAATGCGCCGAGCGCGCCCCAGAGGCGCCTTTACTTGCAGACGCCCGGCAACAGGTGTTTGTCTAGGCGTGATGGATCGTAAATCCCCCGCGGCGCACCCTGGTCATTTGCGAGTAGTTACTCCAGATTTCGTAATAAAGGGAGGGGGGTCTCATTTCGGGGGGGGTCTCTTCCAGTCTATCTTGGAGGGCCTGGGGGGGTCTGGGGACGATGTTTTGGAGGGTTCTCCCACGGGGGAGGTCTGAAGTGGCTTGTCTTGGAGGGTCCAGACCCCCTCCCTTTTATTACGAAATCTGGAGTACCCTGCGAGCAGTGGAACGCGCCTGTCTACAGTCGGGGCGCTGAGGGAGGAGCCCTCCTCGTCGGCGAGGGGCTCGGCGTCCCTGGAGTGTGTTGCAGGCTGCCTTGGGTTCTGCCGAGGTTTTTCCCGTGGGGAGCCGAAGTCTAACTTCTGGGGCAAAGGGGCCTCGTTCCTGATGTAGGGTTGTTTAGGTCAACGCCCCGACTGTACTTACCAGCCTCGAACGTATCCCTATCCTTGAGACTGACACGCCAAAAGGCGATGACAATCTTAGAGGGATGCGCCCTCAAAAAATAAGGGAGTCCCTGAGATTGGCATCGTGACGAGGCGATGCCCAGCAGAGGGACAGGGATGTGTTCCAGGCTGGTAACAAACGGGCCTCGTTCCTGATTTAGGGTTCCTTAGGCCAACGCCCCGACTGCACAATCGGACTGAGGCGCGTGGGTGCGCTGCGGGTGCCGCCTCCGCGCCGACTCGGCGCGCTCCGCCGTCAGACCGGGCCGCACTAGTGTTACCAGCCTGGAACATATCCCTATCCCTATGCTGGGCACCTCCTCATCGCGATGCCAATCTTAAGGATTCCCTTATTTTTCGAGGGCGAATCCCTAAGATTGTCATCGCCTTTTGGCGTGTCAATCTTAGGGATGGGGATACGTTCGAGGCTGGTAATAGGGGCCTACTGTCGGGGGGCGCCGCGCCCTCCACGCCTGCCGTCTGCGGCTCAGAGAACCCCTCGGGGGGGCCTGCGCTGCCTCGATGCTCGCTGCACTCTTCGGCGTCTGGGTGGCCTCGGATACGTTACCAGTTTGAAACATATCCCTGTCCCTATGTTTGGCATCACCTCACCTCGATGCCGATCTTCAGGATTCCCTCAGTTTCTGAGGGCCTGTCCCTAAGCTTGTCCTCGCTTTTTGCTCGCCCATCCTAGGGATAGGTATACGTTCGAGGCTGGTTAACACAGTCAAGACGCTGAAGTAAGGAACAGTTTGGGCTCAGAAGGGGCTCGATGTTCCTTGGGTTCCTCCAGTGCTGTTCCTCTTGCCCTCCTGGGGCACGGAGGCGCTGACAGGGCCAAGACGGGGCTTCGTGTCTTATTTAGCGTTCGTTCTTTCAGCGGCCCGACTGTAGCCTCGGATCGGCCTCGGATCGGCCTCGGAATCATCTGCCAGCGGCGGGACCGAGCCTGCCGGCTGCTGCTCGGCGGCGCGCCGAGGGGGGAACGCGAGGGAGGGGGCATGCGCTCGCAGAAGGTGGCGAGGCGTCTCAGAAGCCCTGCGACGACCGTGAACAGCCTCCCGTCGTGGCCTGCGGGTCTGGCCTCCTGTGTGTGTCTGTGTGTGGTGTGTGCGTGGGGGTGAGAGGGAGGTTCCTTGGCGAGGCGAGCCCAGAAGGGAGGGAGGAGGGAGGGCCCAGAGAGGGTCCCCGTGGCGAGGGAAGAGGAGGAAAGGGAGGAGGAGGTTGAGGAGGACGACGACGACGAGGATGAGTAGAGGAGGACAGGAGGAGGAGGAGGAGGAGGAGGAGGAGGAGGAGGAGGAGGAGGAAGGACCAGCGTAAACCCACGGTCCATCAACGATATTGCAAGAAACCTTCCATCCCCTCGTAAAGCGAACGTGTCAGAAAAGAAGATGACCAACCTCACAGAGAGGCAGGCAAGCTTTCACCGCGCGACGCAGTGAATTCTCAGGGGTGACGCCCACCGTGTTGCGTGAGCACGTCCTGGGGTATGCCAGCAGCCGCCCCAGGGGTGCGTGGCCCCTATTCTCGCCCGCGCGGCCGTCTACGCCATTCGGGCGGAGCCCCTGCGTGCTCCGCTCTCCTGGCGCACGCGCGGGGGGGGACCAGCATCGCAGGCTTCCGTGGGACACGGTGGGAGAGGCAGGGAGGGAGGGAGATAGGAGGAGGAGGGAAGATTGAGGAACAGCAGGAGGAGGAGCAGCAAGAGGAGGAGCAGGAGCAAGAGTAGCAGGAGAAGAGGAAGGATGGGGGGAAGTAAGAGGAGGAGACGGAGGAAGGGGGCAAGCGAGTGCAAGTGTAAAGGCGAGGACGAAGAGGAGGAGGAGGAGGAGGAGGAGGAGGACGACGACGACGAGCATGAGCAGTAAAGGAGCAGGAGGAGGATGGGGAGCAGGAGAAGTGTCAGGAGGAGCAGGAGGAGAGGAATGAGGGGGGACGCAGGGGGGAGGAGGAGGAGGAGGAGGGAGGAGGAGGAGGGAGGAGGAGAACGAGGAGGAGGAGGAGGAGGAGGAGGAGGAGGAGGGAGGAGGAGGAGAGGAGGAGGGGAGGGGAGGAGGAGGAGGAGAGACAAGGAGGAGGGAGGGACCCATGAGGCCCCTCCCGCTGCCGCGTGCGGCCAGGTGAACAGACTGCGGGGGCGGAACTGGGAGCTGGAGGCGCCTCGGGCGCCTCCGCCGCCCTCTGCCTTTGAAGCGCGCCTGCGCGAGGCAGGGGGGGGAAGGCCGACCGACGCCGTGGGCATGGCTCCCCTTTCAAACCTCTCCTCCATTCTCCTCTCCTCGCCTCCCCTCCTGCTCTCTTATCCCTCTCTCCTCTCCCCTCCGCAAGTACACATTGCGAATCCGACTCTCTCTCTCTCTCTCTCTCTTTGCTCCGGCCAGAAGGTGTTCAGCCCTCGCCGCGTATCGTTTTTCGTTTTATTCTGAATTGGACAAGCGTGGTCGCTCCCTTGGTTTGTGTACCAGCCCGTTGTTTACTGCTTCAAACTGTTAATCCATCTGCTGCGTGAGCCTCATTTTCTAATTGGCGCGTTGCTCTCGTCTTTCAGACTGGCGCTCGCGCCCCAGCGCTGGTCATGCGTGCAGCCGATGAAAAGCCGATGCGCATGCGTGCAGCCGATGCGCGTGCGTACAGCCTGGCCACTCGCTGCGTGCAGCCGATGACAAGCTGGTCCCAGGGAAGTGGTCGAGATTTCCAGGGGCCAGCGGCTCATATTCTGCGACGCAAAGGGACAGTCATACCATTCGAAGGCGCACACGTGCGTCTTCGAAGCGAGCCCGGGACCCAGACGCGCGCCACGGGCGCTCCCGCCGCCGTCGTTCTGGCAGGCGCATGCGCCGCCAGGGGAGGGGAGATGGCAGGGACGAGATCGTTGCCGGCCTTGTAAGCATCGTTTTCGGCCTGGTCTGAACCTGAGAGGACATGGCATGCGCTTACGGGGCGGAGTTGAAGCATGAACACGCCACGTGAGCTGCCACCGCCTTAGTCTTGGCATGCGTTTTTTTTGTGCCGTCGGGAAGAATGGAGAAAGCAGATCGGAGAGAGAGAGAGAGAGCTCTCCCCAGACCGTGCTGCATTGTTGTTGCGCTTGTGCTTATTGTTGCTGTTACTGTCGGTATTGTTATTGTTGTCATTGTCGTCGTCGTCGTTATTGTTAATGAAGTTGTTGTCGATACGGTCGGCCCGAGGTATAGGGTCGAGGTCGGTTGCGGAAGGGTGCCCTGATGTTTTTCGTGTTCGTTGGAAGATACAGGCGGCCCGGATTAGTAGGTCGACGCGTGTCCTGTGTCTTGCGACCCATGCCTCCAGCATTTCTGTAGCAACGTGGCCCTCGGAAGGGTCTTGTGCCCTCTCGCGTGTCCTCTCCGATCAAGTCCGACTGTAGTGTGCATCCTGAGGGAGGGTACCATTGGAAGTTCTGTGTGCTTGGGTCTGCGGAGGGTCGCATTTTCTTGAGGGATGCTCCTCTTGCCCAGGTCCGACCGCATTCAGCCGCGAAGCCAAAGCACACATCTGACGTCGAAGGCACATCGACGGGATCGATGGTTTCCCAGTCGCTCCTGGTTTCGTCTCGTGGTCGGCGGGGGCTACACTGGGCAATATACGTTTGGAAGTTGCCGTCGCGCCACTGCCCTCCAAGGGTCTTGACATTGGACGAGAGCGTGGGGAAAAAGGGACAGAACAAGGAGCGTTTGGAGAAGAAGCAGCGAGCCCGGGCGTGGCATGGGTCATAATTCAATGTGTGAGGAGGTTGTTGTAATTGAGGGTTGGTCGTGCTTTACACTTTTGTCTCCATACGCACCGTTATGTTCTGTCGCATCTGCTCCAGAATCTTCAGGCGTCGCCTTTGCGTAATCAGTTTGGCGCGTACAGACGCCGCCGGTATCACCAACACGTGCGCAAGCACAGAGCAACAACAAACAGGAAGGGAGATGTCGAGCGAACGGGACCATTTGCTGGCACTCCTCCTCCGCCGCCTTCCCACCCTCCTCCATCTGCCCCACCTCCTCCTCCTCCTCCTCCTCCTCCTCCTCCTCCTCCTCCTCCTCATCATCATCATCATCATCATCATCATCATCATCATCATCATCATCATCATCATCATCATCTTCATCACCATCCTCATCCTCGGCCACGCTCCACCTCCTCTTCCTCATCCTCCCGCCCACTCCTCCTGTCCCTCCTCCTCCTCCTCCTCCTCCTCCTCCTCCTCCTCCTCCTCCTCCTCTCTCTCTTCCTGCTCATCGTCTCCGCCGTCCTCCTCCTCTTTCTGTTGTCTGTCGTGGTGGCGGCGGCGTGGCAGACGAGCCAACTGACGGCCAACCGCCCCTCGCCTCTCCCCGCCGCCTTGCGCGAGGTGGACGCGGATCGTGCCCTGAAGGTGCGGGACGGCATGCAGCAGGAGCTGGGCCGGTCTTCTGCTGCGCCACGCCTGGTTGGGGAGCGAGCAGGGCGTCGAGGCCCCCTCGTCCTCGTTCTTGGCCTCATCCTGCTCCTCCTCGCCTCCTCCCTCGTCCTCCTTCCTCTTCCTCGACTCCCTTCTCTTCCTCCTGCTCATTCCCTCCTGCCTCCTCCTCCTCCTCCCTCCAGGTGGCATCTGGCTCGGGCCGTTGGGGCGCTCGATCTCCCTTTGCCCCCAGCCTCCCGCCCTGCTCTGGGGCGGAGGCGCAATCAGGATCGCCGCGCGCCGCGATCCCTCCCCTGCCTGGCACAGGCGACTGCGGCGGCGGCGGGCAAGCGCCCGGCAGGTCTTGGCTGAGGCCGAGGCTCGCCGACTTCTCGCCCGACACCACGGCGATCATCCAGCTGGTGGCGTCATGAGCTCTCACGGCGAGTCCGTCTGGGCGTGCAAGGCCACGCGGGTCTGCGGATTCAGGACGAACTACCCGTCTCGCACGACTTGCTGGGGATGCGGTCGAGACGAAGACGGACGACCTACCTCCGACAAAAGGCACCAGCAGGACCCGCCGAGGCGTCGCAGTCGGCAGCCTTCCCGCCCTCGTGTTCCTCCTGCTGTCCGTGGCGCTCCTTGGCACGAGGACACAGCCATGGATGACGGCACCAAGTCGGTCCCCCAGTCTACCTCAGACATGGTCAAGTGCAAGAAGGCTCTCGCCCAGCTGCGGCGCCTGTACGACGACGACCACGGCATGGTCCAGCTGGCCCGCAGCGAGCTCGCGGCCGCGGAGGCCAAGGCGCGAGCCAGCATGGCTCCAGACGACCTCCTTCGCAGCGCCAAGGATCGCTACGCGGCGAAGGAGGCAGAGCGCGAGCAGCAGCAGCAGGCCGTCACCGACATGGAAGCCAAGCTCGGCGACGCCAAGAAGCGCCTCGCCACCCTGGAGAGCGAGGTGAGGGTCATCAAGGCGGAGGTCTGCCAGGCCCAGACCGCCGTCGCCGCTGCAGCTGCGGAGGCCACACGTGGGCAGCAAGCGGCACCTGAAGCAGGCATGTCCCAGTTGCAGCAGATGTTCGCGATGGCGCAGCAGGCGGCGCAGGACGGCGGCGACAAGCAGGCGATCGCCACCCACTTCATGGATACCCTGGCGCGCAGCTTGGGAGCTGCTCCGTCGCCAGCTTCACCCAGCCCAGCTCCTGCCCCAGCGCCCGCTGCACCAGCAGGCGCAGCGCCAGCAGCGGCAACCATGCAGCCGCATGGGCAGGCAACACCTTTTCGCCCCCCCCCCCACACACACACACAGGCACCCGACGCAATGGCGTGGGAGCTGGCGGGGACACACTAGAGTTCGAGGCAAACGAGGAGCGCGCCGACAGGCACTTGGCTTTGTCACCTTCAATGGGTCGTGCTGGACTACGTGTCAAGCGTTTTTGAGTGAAGGTGCTGGGGATGCCAAGATAGTGGCGGCGCAGGAACTACGACTTGACGGAGAGCGGCTGGCGCGTGCGCGTCACTGAGCGATTGCCAACGGCTGGCTTCCATACATCACACCGTGTCGACGTCTCAGCACGGGTTTACCGAGCGCGGGAGTTGGCATTTCCATCAGAGCGAATGTGCAGACCACATTGCTCACAGGACCGTCTGGGCACACAGGTTTTGAGGTGCTTCGGTCGTGGTCATGCTTGATTCACGCAGATCTCGGTCTACCAGGTGGCCTCCTCATCGGCTCGGTGCACATGGAATCGTGCAACAGCACCGACTACGCCGGCACGAACCTCATGCGATACTGCCAGATTGCGGAGTATTTGCGCTATTACGGCCTGCCGTTCATCATCGGAGGAGACCGGAACCAGTCCCAAGCTGACTTCGCCACCAACGGCTTCTCAGACATGATCCCCGGGGTGCCCTTGCACTGCAGAGGCTAGGGGACATGTCGATCACCAGCGGGACGCTACTCCATGATCGACTACTGGCTTACCTCGGCTGACGTGCACGCAGCGTGCCAGACACCGACGTTGGTGGACACATGGCCAGCACGTCCACACTCACCAGTGCAATTCAAGCTGGCAGCCCAACCCCGACGGCTTCGACAGCTCACCATCAGCATGCCGAAGGCTTTTCCACGGGGCCACCCAGCTGAAGTCGGATGCCATCCGCTACATGGGCCACCTCCTGACCGACCTTATCTTGACCATGTCGAACAGGGCGCAGCGCGTGGACCGCCTGGCGATGCTCATCAGGCGCAGCTACGAACGGATGATCTGCATGCCTTACTACTGCACAACGTGGAGCAGGACTTGGCGCACATCTACCAGGTGGACAGCTCTGTTGACCACCGAGGGCGAGCCGAAGGGGCCAAGTATGTCTGGCGCCCGATCGGAGGCCCCAAGCGCGGTGCACACCCAGCGACTGGCAGCGAGGCGCGTTACTTTCGCGCGGTGGCCATCGCCATTCAGGACATCATTCTGCAGACCCAGCGCCACAGCTTGGAGCCGCCAGCGCGTCCAGCTCCCCCGAGGGCGCGTCACCTGGGAGACTCGGGCAGGTGCTCCCCTGCGCCGCCCTCGCAGCCCCAGGGGGGGCCCCGCGGCAGAGCAGGACGGCGTGGACGCGGCGTGCCCCAAGCTCGCCCCGCGGTCGCCAGCGCGGCCATGTTGGACATGCTGCGCAGCTGCTGGGAGCTCATGCACTCACCCACAGCGATGGGGCGCCCGCCGCGACGGGATGATCCTGAACCTGACGGGCTTGAGGAGGAGTTTCGCGAGGCCGTCGCCGCGGGCGCCACTCGCTGGATTCCAGAGCTTTCGGACCCCGAGGCTGGCGAATCAACTTGGTTCGAGTGGTGCGTGCCTTTCGTCAAGCAGTGCCTCAGGCTCCCGCAGCATGCTACGTGGGCGGCCACTGCCCTTGCAAGAACCGCGGCGGACGAGCTGGCCCTTGACATCTGCACCGGGGCGCGGCATGAAGCCCGCGACCCAAGGCTCACACACTCGAGTACTTGGACTGGCTGGCCATTCACGACGCGGAGTTTGGCAGGCAGGTGCTGAGTCAACACTGGCGGGAGCTCTAGGACATCCTGGCCCAGATGCGCGCGATGCTGGGCCATCTCGAGCTGACGCCAGTTTTGGAGGAACACTACGAAGATGGCGATCAGCGGCCTCCCCAGTCAGATATATCGTGCGAGGCCCTGCAGGCCTCCATGGGTGCGACGTCGTCTTCCTCATTGATGGCGACTTCGCTCTCTTCTACCAGGCTACACGGCCGTCCACTTGGTGGGCCGTCGTTGGGCGCTGACCCCTCTCGAGCTGAGAAAGTTGAGACTGCTTCCCAAGTGACCTCCCACGTTGGTAGGGATCGCGCCCCCCTGCCGCGTGGGGATGGCCTGGGGAGTGGAATCTCTGGAGCTCGGGAGGTGCGGGCGCGCGTCCCATGCACATCGGCCTCACCCTCGACGGGGCCGACAGCTGGGGCTACAGCATCTACAGGTTCTGCGGCAGGACCTCGCTGCGCGTGGCTACGAAAAACATGAATCAGGACAAGCCGACGCGAGGCCAACAAGGAGCTTCTCGAAGGCCAGATCAAGATGGCCCCATCTTGGGCGACTTCTACGACCTGGTCATCGACAGGATGCGCACGCACCAGCGGGCATCTTCTTGCTCGATATGATCTGGCCGATATTGCATGCTGCCACGAGCCGTTCACCAGAGATCGCGCACACTTGTATGCAGGGCTTGGCCAATCAGTGTCATGCACATGCTGAAGTGCAGGAACGTGCTACTGGCAAGAAAAGGCTCGATGGATTTCACAAGTGGGCTAGGGGCACTTTGACGCCTGGCCCCGCGCCGCTCTTTGACATGGCGAGGCTGCGCGCATGGGCGCACAATCAGGTTTCTCGTCGTGGAGCTGCCACCTCCCGCCCCCAGGCCATAGCGGACAGCCAGATGGATATGTGGAACGCCATCTGGGAGGGCACGCCCATCACGCGTCAGGCCATCAGGGAGCAGTACTACATGGACGGCGACGGCGAGGAGCAGCACGAGCAGGACCCCACGTCGGCGGCACCATTATTGGACACAGCTGACGAAGACATCTCGGCTGTAGTTGCTCGACTGCCGCCTGGAGCCCCACCCGTTCCCACGGTCGACGAGGTGAGACGCGCAGCGCGGACATTCCGCTGGCGCACAGGGTTGGGTCAGGACGCCATCTCACCCAGGGCGCGGTCTCTCCTCTCGGACCCGGCCCTGGCGATGATGCTCTATATCTTCTGGGCAGCGGAATCGTTGGCGCGGTGGCCGTCATCAATGCTATCGGTCCACATCATGCTGCTCACGAAACCTCAAGGAGGGTTTTGACCGATTACTCTTTTACCCTCCCTGTACCACGTCTACACCAAAGTGCGGGTATCTCATGTTCGGGCTTGGGCAGCCAGATACACTCGGCCTTATTTTGCTCTTGGAGAAGGCAAATCAACTTTGGGCGTGGTTGCGAGGACCATGATATACTCAGAAGCTCATCTAGGTAGTGCATCGAAGGCAGTGGTCACAACCCTGATTGACATCAGCAATTGCTTTGACAGAGTTTGCTGGCGGCGCGTCTTGCAGGCGACGGCCAAGATGGGCTTCCCCACGCCTCTGCTCAAGCTCTGCCTGGCGATGAACTACGCACCGGGGCCCATCAGATGGGGATCGTCGTACTCGTACGCCGTGCAGGTGCAGCGAGGCGTGCTCCAAGGCTGCTCGGTGGCCATGTTCCTTCTGCAGCTGGTCATGATTCTGCCGTTCGATGTATTCGAGGAGTCTTTCACCATGACGGAGGTCGACCACACGCTGGACATCTACGCTGATGACATCGCCTTGCAGGTGGTCGCCGCGCCTCAGCACATTGTCGAGGAGTCAGCGCGCATCATTCAGCGCCTGGCGGTCGCGCTACTTGCGCTGGACCTGCCCATCGCCAAAGACAAAGCGAAGATCATGTCCTCGGCGCCAGGAGTTGCGAGACAAGTG